TTCTTGGTATTGCTGTTTCAAATATCCCACCATAATCTGAAGTCTGAGCCTGTCAAGGGCTAATGGCAATGGCAGATACGTTACTAGTTAGTTTCAAGGAAAATCATTTTCTTTTTTTGTTTGCCAAATAACCCTGTCCATGTGTCCGCCCCCGCAACCCCCAACCCCTGGAAAAAAGTTCAGGCTCAGGATTTTTTTTTTGCTTTAACCCCTGAATCTGTTATCAGTGGAATTATTTAGCAGCTTGATATGAAGCATAATGCAGAAGCTGACAGGAAGCATCACACCACATGCCAAAACTTTGTCACACTTCCCTGGCTATTAATTAACACTCTCTCCTCAGTCCATAAGTCATGGAATGATGTAAAATAAGCTAGTCTTTCATTAAGAAATGTGTCGGTCTTTAGTTGTGAAATTGACTAGGACAACCGCGGCTTTAATGAGTTTTGGCTGAGAATGAATTCACACTAAAGAGTTCCTGATGGCAGTGCCAACAGCTTCTAATGAACACGTTAATTTGCACAGTTGAGTTTGTCATCAATGAAAATAATCCACACTGTAAAAAATGACCGTGAATTTAACTGAAAAAGACTGTAAAAATGCTACAGTAAAAGCCTGTTAAACGGTTAACGGTAAATTCCCCTACTATATACGGTGAAAAACTGTATTGGACATTACATGTCTTGGACATAAATTTTACGGTAGTATACCGTTTTTGGAAGTGAAAAATACCGTATAATTTACAGTGAATAACCGTAAATTGACATTCCCAGAATTCCCTGCATTACATTTCAAATTTTATGTTTTTTTTTGTTGAAATAACTATGTTTCTTCTTAGTTTTTTTCTTATCAGTTTTGTATATTAGGGTTGTGCGTTACACCTAATGTTGTTAATGAATGTTTATTGCATTATTTCAGTTTCATGTGTGTTACCATGATGGTGTTTGGTGTTTGTGTGAATGACACTGTGCACCTTCTATATATGTTATTATTTAAAAGCTGCTTGTGATGGGCTTTGGTTCATCATGTGACTTTCTCATCACCACCTGCATTTGGTGGTTATCAGTGTATTACAAAGGTACAAAACAGATTTCAGTACTTCAATAGGTTGGTATATTAACATTATATCAGTTAATGAAATAACGATATTTAACTGTAAATTTAAGTTAAAACCGTAAAACCTAAAACGTTGCTACCGTATTTTTTACGGAATTTTTTTTATAGTGCAGATGTAACTCCGTTAATGCCGGAAAGGCAGCTTTACTCAGATGCTGGAATCATTTCAAGGTAAACAAAAGTCAGGAAGGATGAAGCTCCAAACTCATGATGTCATTTTAAAGTTGTCAAATGCTGAGCTTAATGGAGGGAGCAATGACACGTCACAATCTGAGATTATGTATGTATGTCATGGCAGGTTATAATTTACACACATGCTACATCAATATTTACATAAATTGTGCAATCATTTTCTTTAGCTTTTGTCTATCTAACTTTCTGTTTATACAGATATTATAGATAGATAGATAGATAGATAGATAGATAGTGACAGAGCGGCAGGTAGATAGTACAATAGTTGGATAGAGTGACAGAGCGACAGATCATGATAGACAGATAGTGTCAGAGAGGTAGATAGAGTGATAGAGCAACAAAGTACAATATGTAGATAGAGTAATAGGCAGATAGGTAGACAGATAAATAGAGCGTCAGATAGCATGATAGAACGACAGATCGCAATAGGTAGAGAGAGTGAAAGATGGATAGACAGAGCGTGATATGTAGCTAGAGCATCAGATAGCATTATAGAGCACAATAGGTAGATAGAGCATCAGATAGTATGATGCAACAGATAGTAACAGAGCGCGATAAGTAGATAGAGTAGAAAAATTCGAATTTCGAATATTGGTCAAATTTAAAATAATCTACATTTGAATGCAAAAATGCTGCATTTGAATTTTAGGTGTGCGTTAGGCAGCCTTATCAGTGGCGCACGAGATGCAATGATGATGTATGTGTTGTTGCATTGTAATGTTTTTGTTAGCCTATCCAGGTGAACCCACTAGATGAGGCACTGCTGCATTGTTCATTCAAAATATTGCGGAAAAAGGGAACATCAATGCGGAGAAGATCTTGTTTACATCAAAACTGAAACCAAGTAATCTGTTTACGCAGAACACATATTTTGCGCATTTTCTAGAGTGACATCTATCACCGTTTCAATCGCATCTCGCACAAGAGAGCCACATGTTTAGAAAGCCATGTAAAATTAATGTAAGTTCATCTTTTAGAAAAAACATGTCTAGAGACTTTATGGCGTTTTTTTTTTTTGAATGAAAAAAGTACTCTGTGTGATTGGCTTTCAGCCCTTTGTGTTAAATATATATACATGAGGCTGTTTTCTTTATAATTAAGCCAATTAATTAATTATATTTGGATTATAAACATTTTGTAAGCATTATGCACTTTCTTTTTTTTAATGATAGTCGTGTTATTTTATGGCTTTGAATAAATGTGCATTAGCAATATTTTGCTCGATGGACCCTCTTGTGGCCTCAGGAGAGAAGCTAAAAGCTTTTTCCCCCTAACTGAAATTATTTCTTTTACATTGGAATATAATTTGAATATTGATAATATTTAAGTACAAAATTCGAATTTAGTTTTTCAGCCATTTTGACAGCCCTAGAGCACGATAAGTGGATCGAGCGACAGCACAATATGTAGATGTTAGATAGATAGACAGATAAAGAGACAAGAGCGTGATAGGTATATAGAGTGACAGATGGATAGATAGAGCGACAGAGTGCAATATGTAGATAAAGCATCAGATAGCATAATAGTGGGACAGACTGTGATATGTCGATAGAGTGATACTGTAGGTAGATAAAGTGTCAGCGATAGCATGATAGACAGAGCAACAGAGCACGATATGTAGATAGAGCGGTAGGTAGATAGAGTGACAGGCAGATAGAGTGCGATATGATAGTGTGACGTAGATAGAGAAACAGATAGATAGAGGATAAAGTGTCAGCGATAGCATGATAGACAGAGCAACAGAGCACGATATGTAGATAGAGCGGTAGGTAGATAGTGACAGGCAGATAGAGTGCGATATGATAGTGTGACGTAGATAGAGCAACAGATAGATAGAGCGATAGATATATAGAGTGATAGATACAGGTAGACTCTGAAAATTCTCTGAACATATGATATGGAAATAAAGACATACGTAAGCAGCGAGGCACAAAATATCTAAATTGGAATCAGATGTGGGGAGAAATTATAAATATCAGTTCTGAGTGAGAGAGAGAGAGAGACAGCGCTGAGTTTCAACAGTGAGTCAGTCTGCTTGTATTACTGTGATTATAGAGAGCTTCTGCAGTGGAGAGAGAGAGTGAGAGAGAGAGAAGGTTGTGCACGATTCGCTGTGTCTAAATTGGAATCAGATGTGGGGAGAAATTATAAATATCAGTTCTGAGTGAGAGAGAGAGAGAGAGAGAGCGCTGAGTTTCAACAGTGAGTCAGTCTGCTTGTATTACTGTGATTATAGAGAGCTTCTGCAGTGGAGAGAGAGAGTGAGAGAGAGAGAAGGTTGTGCACGATTCGCTGTCTTCTCTAGGATACAGCTCGCTTCCCTCCTCGTCTCAGTGCTCCTCTCTCTTCCCACTCAAGTGTATCTGATCCGTCTCTCCCGCACGACTCCTCTGTTTCTCAAGAACTCTGAGGATGACTCCTCCGGAAACCTCCAGCCACAGATGCCCGTTCTTCAGCTCATGGCTGCCCAGGACGACTCAACACTCTCGGGCTTCCCTCGTGCGGACCTGCTCTATGTAAAGTGGATCCGAAGCAGAACAGCAGCTCAAGCCGGTCTCCTTTAGGGTGAGTATCATTGACAAGATATGAGTTTATGAGTGAATGTTGTTTACTGAACCACAGAAAGAGACAGACGCAATCCAGTGCTTTTTTGTGGATGTGTATTTCATTGTTTTGCTGTAAGTGGTTATTAATGTGCGACTCCTTGTTACATATTGTCATTAGTGATAGTATAAAAGCTGAGAATACGTACAGGTGGCATCTCAGATGGGTGCTGAGAGAGAGTTGAGGCTAGTGGTGCCAACACTGTCAGCGTGTGAACTCTCACTGCGTGTCATGACACCAGGTCTGAACAGAACATCACCACTGCGCTGGTCATTAGTAATCCCAGTACAACACAACCGCTCAGATATCAGCTGCTGACTTATTCTGTAGTGATTCCATCAAAAGTATTAAAGTCGAGCGTGTGCATTACGTGCTGGTACTTTATTAAGTGATCAGATGCACCATTTTCACCAGAAAACAGGTGAAAAATCCAGAGCATGGGGTCTTTTGACCCTAGCAACCGCATTGCAATGCCCCGGCAACCAGCCTGGCATCGTGACAGAGTTTTGCACCACTCGCATTTTTTTCAGCAAAATCAAATATTTATTGATTCCCGGCCGTGTAGTTCAGGTAACCGGTCTGTAGAGTGTTCAGGGAGAAAAATACAGTATGTGGGTGAAGTGAAATAGAAATGTATGCGGAAAAGAGTAGCAAGAAGGTGACAGAATGGACTTATTTCTATGGGAACAGCACTTTGCTCTCTTTCTTCCTCCTCCCTCCATGCACTGCTACTGAAGACTCATATGGTTGTTTTTATGTTCCCCACTGAAAAGAATCCGATAATGCGTTTGTTTGCAATTTGCTGGGAAATACATCTTCAAATGGTGATCATTTTTTTAGATGTGTTAACAAACAAAAAAGTTGAGCTCAGACACGCCCATATACCGCATCACTTCCTGTGTTTACCTCATTCTGTTACCACTGACGTGAAGTCCTCTAATCCGGCTGTTGGAGATTTCAGGAGAATCGTGTCTTTCTGTCGCTCAAGCTGTTATTAAACCACTTAAACTGTCTGAATCTCACACTGGATTGGCTCTGTTTCAGAACACATGCCGAAGCAAATAGACGAGGAAATGAGAATTTGGGACTTGAACCTTGCTAAACCTGCTAATATTAGTATAGTTAGTCAATTCATTTAAACTCTGCTGATTTTTGGTTTTAATTGCTCTCATAATCCTAAACCAGCAAACACTCCTAAATAAGCTTTGTTGACCTGTCATTATTTGTATTTTTTGTGGTCGTATCTATTAGACAAAATCTACGCAAAACAGGCTCAGCATGCAGAGATCAGTATGGCAAGATTCTGGAATTATTGATACAGTATTTGAATTGCATTAAGGATGTGCAGTGATCCTCATTAACTTTAATGCAGAGCTGTCTGAAAGTGTCTGTAAGTTTGACAGTGAGATGATTTCATGCAGCAGCCTGCGGTGTGTCGTGATGCACACGCTCAGTAATCCTCCAGAGCTTTTCATCCGCTCTCAAACACGATCCCACACACACACTGATAACTGAATATCATTTTTGAGAAATAATAATGTTATTGACGCGAGCACTCACGCATAAGTGCTGATCAGGTAAAGGGATCGTGTGGTCGTGACTGCAGCTCAGACAGCATGGATTCTGTGGTTATAGAGAAAAGCACGAGAAAAAGTGTTACTGTGAATGAACTCAGTGCATGACCTCAACACTTGATGCATGCATCTGTTTGTGCATTCATGAGGCTGCTGCAACAGGCCCTTCAGAGAATCCATCCATCCATGAATGATGTTTTGGAGCTTGACAGTGCTGTATAATGAAAGTGGACAATATCTATCATATCAGTCATCCATGTTCAGATTTAGGTGATCACTCAGAATGCCCTACTGGTATTTTTTTTTTATTTTTTTGTTTTTTTATTATTATTTTAATTTATTCGTTTTATTTAGTTAATTTTACTTATTTATTTTGGTTATTTTATTTACAGATGTAATTTTAATTAATTTTATGGTTTATTTTAATGTGTTTATTTTATTTTGCTCATTTTATTTTATTGAATTTATTTTTTGATTAATTTAATTTAATTTGTTCATTTTATTTTATTTATTGAATATTTATTTTAATTTGTTCATTTTACTTATTTCGGTCATTTACATTTTTTTTGTTGTTGTATTTTTTATATATTTTTTATTTTAATTTCTTTATTTTATTATATTGAATACATTTTAATGTCTTGATTATTTATGTATTTATTTATTTGTGTCAAGTGTCAGACCTGTTGTTCACATATTAAACATATCAGTTATACCTTATCTGTCAATCGTCACAAGTTCTTGTTTACATTAATGCTCCATGATGTTAGATGATCAGTGATTTCATATTCATTCAGGCCCTCGGCATGTCAATGTGTCATAACTTTTAAAATATTCTGGTTTGAGAACTGTTGGGATTTTCATCCCCTTTGGTCAGAGTTTCTTGTTTGTTTCCCATTTCTCTACAGCTGAATTTCTCTTATTCCCCCTCCCCAGAGATCAGTATTAGCCGAGAGATCAGAATAATCATGCCTCATCTTGAAACACTGTGTTGATTTTCCACGTACTAAATTATGCATCCAGCTGGCTTCAGAGGTATAATCATATTTTTGCATGACCATTTGCATGTTGTGGTGATGTAACCCGCAGTATGTTTTATGGTGGATTGGATGCAGTTTGTTGTAGTGTTGAGGAAAAATGCACTAAATATCATGTTTACTTTCAAACTTTAGAACTTTGATCACAGGATAGTTCTACACATCAAATGAAGATCACAGTTAAAATCATGCATATTATCATTTTCTTAAAGGGGTCATATGATGCGATTTCATTTTTTCCTTTCAAGTGGTTTGCAAGTTTAGAAATGGTGTCATCTCATAAATAACATCTGAGAATGTTAAACACTTGCATGACATGCCTGTAGTCACGGCTTTGAGTCTGTATCGCACATGTGTGACCGAGTCACGGGACCTTCAGCAGGTTTTACGTGTTTAGTGTGTGTGTTCCTGAAGGCTGCACGTTTCTGTGAATGTGAACATGAGTTCATACTGCTGCTTTGGGTTCGGAAAGCAATTCCATAAGCATCTTTTGGATTGTGTGTGTTTGTGTTTTGTAATCTATAAGCCCCCTAATGCTGAATTGTAAAGCCTCAGGCTACTGAAAGAAAAAGCCGGAGAGAGAGGGAATGATATGGAGGAGTAGAGATGCTTGTGCTTTTATTGGGAGCTCTTTTCTTCTGTCGTTCATTTTTTCCCTCCATCTCCAAGGATGCCAAGTAGAGAGTGGCAGTTAGAAACAGTCTATGCATATCTAATATGATTGGACTTGTTAAAAATAGACTGCACTATACGCTCCGTGCTGAGCTTGTATGCGCAGAAAGTACTAAAGCAAAACGCAGTAAGGATTCAGTATACATTCTCGTTCTAGAGACTAGAGAGAATTTGATTTGACAAAAATTGTATGGTCCCCTGAGTGCAAGATAATGTCAACAGTATTTTGGTTTCCATGGTAGAGAGCTTGTGCTGCATAAACTACCGTTCAAAAATGTTAATGTTTCTGAAAATCTCTTCTGGTCACCAAGGCTGCAATTATTTGATCAAAAATACAGCAAAATACTGTAATATTGTGAAATATTATTACAATTTCAAATAAGTGTTTTCTATTTGAATATATAGTAAAATCTAATTTATTCCTGTGATCAAAGCTGAATTTTCAGCATCATTACTCCAGTCTTCAGTGTCACATGATCCTTCAGAAATCATTCTAATATGCTGATTTGCTGCTCGAGAAACATTTCTGATGATTATCAATGTTGAAAACAGTTGTGCTGCTTCATGTTTTTGTGGAAAATGTGATCTATGTTTTATTTTTCAGGATTCTTTGATGAATAGAAAGTTCAAAAGAACAGCATTTATTTGAAATAGAAATCTTTTGTAACATTGAATATAAATACCTTTACTGTCACTTTTGATCGATTTAATGCATCCTTACTGAATAAAAAGTGCAGCTTGTTGACTTCTCGAAGCAACCGGACTTAGAGGATGCTAGAAATGTGATAAAATCTGACTTGCGTTGAAGCAGGACCATAAATCACACAGATTTGACAGCTTTTATTCAGATCGAGTTGGATAATAAATAAATGTAATCTGAATGCAGATCAAATGTGTGTCCTGGCATCATGGATCTTTTTTCCTTTTGGAATCAAATCATGTGCAGTTTTGTAATTGCAGTGATTAATTATTTGTTGTTTGCAGGCATATTGTTGGAGCTTCTTTGTTTTCTGAGATTTGCGTTGCAAATTTTAATCAATTTGCATATCTCTTGGCTTAATTAGAGCTGAAATGGAGCATTTAACTGTTTTGCTGGCTTTGTGGATGATCAGAACGGTAACTTTCACTATTAACAACAGTAGTTGAAGTCATTTTGTTTTGGTATAGTTAAAATTTAAATGTGGTTTCATGTTCTTCAGCGTCTGCTTTTTTTCTTTCTTTTTTCTAGAAAGGGCACGTTCGTTCAGACCTCGTCTTTCAGCTTACAAGCACACAAAGAACAAGAGACCTTCAGAGCCGAAGCTTTCAGATTGCTAGAGGAAGTGCAGACAATCGTATGTAAAGGTACATTTGACAAGTCCTACGCTATTTTATGGATAATTCAATCCCTCGCATGTGTACCGATGTCTGTTTGCCTTCTTGTTTTGAAAGATGGAGCAGGAGATTTCAAAAGTGCAGCGCAAGATGTCAGACCTGGAGTCAGTTCTGCAGCAGAAGGACGTGGAGCTCAAGGCTTCAGAAACCCAAAGAACCATCTTAGAACAAGACTTGGCCACCTATATCACCGAATGCAGCGTGAGTTTACTGTTTCCATGTGGAAATGTGGCGTGATCAGAATTGCACGGCTTGGTTTGTGAAACTTTTTGTTTGTTTTGTGTGTATTTCAGAGTTTGAAGCGCAGTTTGGAGCAGGCCCGCGTGGAGGTTACACAGGAGGATGATAAAGCTCTGCAGCTCCTGCACGACATACGGGAGCAGAGCAACAAACTGCAGGAAATTAAAGAACAGGTTTGAATTCACTTCAGTAGCATTTTTGACAATGTATATTATTCCAGTGAGCGGAGAGCTCTATAAACTGCAAAAAGAAGTTCCTTAATCTGTATTTTTGTCTTGATTAATACATTAATTAATACATTAATGCATTAAAGGGGTCATATGATGTTGCTAAAAAGAACTTTATTTTGTGTATTTGGTGTAATGAAATGTGTTTATGCGGTTTAAGGTTCAAAAAACACATTATTTTCCACATACTGTACATTATTGTTTCTCCTCTATGCCCCGCCTTTCTGAAACGCGTC